GGGGTCATGTAACTGCAAGAGAAGTTAGAGGTTACCTGCAAGACCTTAAGTTCGTTTTTAGCTACGTACAGGACCTGAAGCTCGGTTTCCACTAAGTGGCACTTGGCGGACACTTTTACAGCCTTACAGAGCCAGATAGGGATTAGGGGATATCCTTTCAAAACTGGCGCAGCCTTAACGGCCTAAAGCCGTGACCTGACTTTCCCGACAGTCCTAACCCCCTAAACCCTTCAGCCCAAGCGTCCGCCCCAAATAGCAAAACGACTCAACAACCGCGGAGATCTGAACCCATGCACTTAAAATAGGGGCCTAAATAAATACCAATACTATGTTGGGGGTTCCTTACTATAATTATGGGATAATGGGCACCAAAACCTATTCTAACTATTGAGGCCCCTATATTACGACCGTCCACCCTTCTGCTTGGAGGCAATGCCGCGAAGTCCCAGCTGCACTATTGCCGATGCAGCCGCTTTGATCCGAGTTGAAAGGTTTGCACTTGGAGTTGCAAATCTTGTAAAAATCCCCAAACTTTAAACCCTAAGCCCTAAACCCCGAACCCTAAAAAAGCTTAAACCCCAAGACCTGCCATCCGACAGTCCGAACTGCAAGCTGTGCATGGGGTTGCAGGTTTAGCAAATGTCAAGGGTCATAAAGAGCTTAGTTTCAGATGAGATTGGAGTTGTGGGATTTCAATCTTTAGGATTTTGGGTCACAGTAGGGATATCTTGAAGGCTTCTTTATCAAGATCTTTTGAGGGAGCCTCCAATTATCTCGAGCCTGCCTAGAAAAGGCTGGGATTCTGACCAGAATCCACTATGTTCCGCAGACCTCCCCGCGATATGTTCGTTGACGATCCTCGGGGTTCCGTGCGTACCTGATATAGAGGCGTGACTAAGTATTTAGTTCTATGACTCCGTAGGCCAAAACACCCTACTCTAATTATTACTGTAGGAACCTGGTTAAGAAACCTTGGGCCTCTATTAGGGTTCCTTATATGAATCCTACTATTTGGGGGTTTATAGGCCCAGGGTTTCTTAATCAGGTTCCCACATTAGGCCCTTGTTTAATTTTACCTATAACTCATTTTCGGGGACTTCTACTAACCGACCTTGTAACTACCCCTGCACCTCCAAGTAAGCCCTTGTTTAATAACCACAGGATCGAAATTGCCCTGCTACCGACCTCGGTCGAGAATCTGTTGCTCTCAGACATAGGATTTCGGGTGCAATGTTCGTTTTGGACAAGAATGCGTCTGTGCAACCACAAACCTACAGCTTCCAAGCCTTAAGCTCGACTCCACACACTTCAAACCCGTGGCAGGGCACAAGCTCAGCAGCCCTGGACCCGGTGCTCCATTTTAGGGCTTTAGGGTTCAGGGTTTAGGGTTCAGGGTTTAGGGTTTAGGGTTTCGGGGAATTCAGGATTCCCAGCGCTTTAAATCAACAACCGGAAGATGTCTTGTTCGTCGAACTGAGGTGAAATGTTGGGCCACCTCCCTTCGCAGGACACTGGTTGAAGTGAACTCTTTGGAGGTAGATTTTTTTTATCAAAGCTTGGGGGTGCAGGGGCCTGGCCCGCAGATGAGGTTAACGGCTTCAGATCAAAGGGGTCCAAAGGTGGGATGAAGGATTCCAAAATAAGAGTCCCCATATAAGGGATCCTTAATCCTACCTATTTCAGGCCTTCAATTAGAGAGTGTTGTTGTTCCATTGCAAAACGGTTGTTGGCCAGATTGCAGACGCTTCTTAGCAGAACTTCGGAAACATCTCACGTCTTTGAAGGTATTGGGTTCACTTCTCCGACTCTTGGCATATGCCAGGACTCTCCCGCAACGTCATGTCCTACGCCGTAAGCCCCAGGAATCTAAACGGGAGTTTACACGGATCCGAAGAATGCGTTGTTTAGGGTTTAGGGGAGGGGGAGGGATTCCTGCAGCTCGTGCCTGAAGCAACTACTGTGTTTTCCCACCCGCCCTTGCTCGGGGCTCAAGGGGGCCTGATGGTGCCACATTTAGGCACCCTACACCCTAAACTGCCCTAAACCTAAACCCAAACCCTAAACTCTAAACCCTAGACCCTAAACCCTGAACCCTGAACCCTAAACCCAAACCCTAAACCCTCAACCCTAAACCCTAAACCCCAACCCCCGCCTCATGTCTCGTGGAAGGTGGCTTTGGTGTAGAGTGTAGAGGTCGCGTTCTGGATCGAGGTCTCGAGGATTAGGATTTAGGGTCTCAGGCTTAGGGTTTATGGGGCCTCGGTTTAGGGTTTAGGGTCCCAGGCTTAGGGTTCATGGGCGTCGGTCACTCCGAGTCTACAGGGGCGCAGGCATGAGTACATCCATGCAAAGTTGTGTTGTGCCTGTTCCTAGCACGTGTGGTATCTGTACATGAGTTCTGTGTATAGGAGCATGAGAAGCACAGTCAGCTGGTGCATAGTTCCTGTAATTGGGGGCCCTTATTTAGAGAACTACCTATATGATACATGCACATGATGAATATATACACACACACACGTACGTTCTTGGTTTGAGAAATCATGTATGAACGGCAAAGTCGCCCCAACTCAGCAGGAGTTTCCTGTCCATGGCCTTCAGTCCCGGTGGAAACTCCGCGCCGGCGTCGGTAGGCAGTGCTGGCGCCCTGAATCTGCCGCCAAAGCCCCTGTGCCGAACATACATTATGAACCGTTCAGGAGCCAGCAGTGGCGATCACAGGGAAGTGTAGGGCCAAGTGTCATGAGCAGATGAATGTGTCGGATGATGGTGAGTATGGGGGCACTGACGATGCCGATCCTGATGGCCATGAGCACGATTGTAACGATGATGCTGCTGATGATGATGACGACGGTGAAGATCGTGCTGGCAACGGTGACGATGATGGTCATGGCAATGTTTGTGTGGGGCGGAGGCAACTGTTTTCCACCATATTCAGGACCGTTATGATGGTGGTGATGATGTGTCGCCATCACCAGTGTCGTCTGAATCGCGGTCGCCGTCATCATCTTCGTCATCATCGCCATCATCGTCATCAGCGTCATCATCATCATCATCACCTGCGGCACCAGCACAACCTCGAGATCCCGAATGGAAGCAGGTCAAGCTGCCGTTCCAGAAAGCCTTTCAACCCTCATCTGCGAACCCTTTCTCACACTCAGCCTTGAAATCCTAACCCTAAACCCTAAGCCCCAACCCCTAAACCCTAAACCCTGACCCCTAAACCCTGACCCCTCAACCCTCAACCCTCAACCCTGCAACGTCCACCCAGGCCGCCACCCCCGCCCGCCGCCGGTATGTTTGCGTGGTTTGAGAGCTTCATCTGAATACATGGCTCTGTTGGGGTTTGGGGTGTTAGGGTTTAGGGTTTACGGGTGTTTCAGGGCATGGTCTGCCCTAACCCTCAGGCTCCCGAGGCTTCTTTTGCAACCTCTACTTGGAGGTTCAGGGGTAGTTATAAGTGGGTTGATAAGAGGTTTGGGGTTCCTTTAAGGGTTTTATAGGGTAGTCATAAGTTGGGCTATAAGTCCTCTAATATGGGTTATAGGTATAGTTACCCTGCTTATAGCCCTACTTATAACTACCCATGAACCTCCAAGTAGAGGGTATGCAGTTTAGGGATTAGGGGCGGTGGTTTTGAGCTTGGTGGTCCAGGCTTGGAGGGTTCTTCCAGTCGCTCATGCGAGATTTTGCAAGGGTGTCGATGGGGTTTAGGGTTTAGGGGTTCAGGGTATAGGGTTTAGGGTTCAGGGTTTAGGGTTTAGGGTTTAGGGTTCAGGGTTTAGGGTTTAGGGTTTAGGGTTGATGTCAGACTATGGAATAGCTAAGGGCCCTTGTTCGGGGCTCCGGACATAGACAAGGATGCTGACATTTGTGTTTAGGGTTGAGGCCGACAACCCAGGTCTCAGACTCCAGTACAATTATAAGTAGGGCTCTAAGTGGGGTGACTATACTTACAACCCATGTTAGGGGACTTATAACCCCGCTTATGACTGCCCCTGAACTTCCAAGTAGAGGAAGTAAGAGTGCAATGTCGGACCCTGAAACCCTCAACCCTTACACATTCAGCTGGTTTCAGAACATATCGCCGAGGAGTGAGAACGCAGGGAGCGTGTGGCGCAGCTCCGTGGGAGACTTCGAGGGCCATTGCGACAGAAGCTGGGTTCTTGTTGAGTCACGTTTTTTCAAATTAGGGTTTAGGGGTTCTTTGTTGAATCACGTTTTTCAAGCTAGGGTTTAGGGTTTAGGGTTCTTTGTTGAATCACGTTTTTCAAGTTAGGGTTTAGGGTTTAGGGGTTCTTTGTTGAATCACGTTTTTCAAGTTAGGGTTTAGGGTTTAGGGTTCTTTGTTGAATCACGTTTTTCAAGTTAGGGTTTAGGGTTTAGGGTTCTTTGTCGAATCACGTTATTCAAGTTCGGGCTTAGGGGTTCAAGCTGCCCAGAATGGAGCAACATTTTCGGAAAGTAGTCTGGTTTCATTGATAGACCTAAAGTGAGTACTTCAACTGGAACCCACCCTAAACCCTAAACCCCTCTACCCTAAACCCCCTAAACCCCTAAGTTCTAAACCCTTAAAGTGGGTACCTCAACTGGAACCCAGAAAACACCGTGTACCGGCAAGTGGAAGCTGGGTATGGAGCCGATCGCCCTGTCACCTTCATCGAAGGCTACACGTGGCCACTGAACTGTGATTGTACTATTTTGGGGGTTCCTTATTAAAAATAAAAGAAATTGAACCCCCAAACCCTATTCTAATTATTAAGGCCCCTGTTTTGGATTGTCTTTCTTGTAGGAAGCTTGTTGTCTCTTTCAACTTGGGTCCTTTGGATATAGGGCTGTTCTTAGCGGAACCGAAGAAAGAGGTCAGGCTACACCTTCGGAAACGTGATCCCCCCGACCCACACAATCTGCTCTGTCAGTCGCTACAGCCGGGCTCCAGATGCTTGGCGTCTTCTTCTTACTTCTGGTTGGCTCTTAGGACCTTAACTTTTTTGGGGTTCTATATGAACCATAACCCTAAAACCCTAACCCTAAACCCTAATCCCTTAACCCTAACCTGTAACAGGGAGGCTAAAAGCTTAACTTTTGGGAGGGCCGGCGGAAGTCAGCTGAAGGATGGTGCGACCCACAGAGGCCGCATTTTGCAGTCCAGAGTTGATAGAAACTCAGGGGTACTTAGAAATATTTTTTAATTTTTGGTTATTATAATCCCTAAGAAACAGCTAAAATGATCATTTTTGCTAGGGTTCTAAGTTCAGTATAGGAAACTGGCTCCATGGCCACTGGGCAACCCGAGCCGGTGTTGCGTTCTACAACGGCTGGCTCACATCTGATCAAAGGACTCCCTGGTGCTTAGTAGGGCATGGGGGAAATGCATCCCTTCGGTAGTTTAGGGTTTAGGGTTTAGGGTAGTCCCAATATCATCCCTACTAAGACGAACCAGACAGAGGAATATCGATGTTCTGGATTGGGTTGTGCTGTGCGGCACTAACGGTGCGCAACGAGCCTTTGATGGCTCTTCGTCCGGCACCCCGGCCAACATTGCGGCCCACAACCCATACCCGCCGGTGCCGTTCACGGACACGATACCTTTGTACATCAATCATGGGTATGATGAAAAGTCTGACTTTGCCGTCATGGAGGTGATCACCTGGGACCGGGTGTTGTCAGAGGAGGAGATGGTGGCCACCGTCGACTACCTGAAGTGGAAGCTTAGGGCAGGTGCCGTGCTCGAGACTTCAGAGCACATTGCGCAGGAGACCGAAAAGAATTTCGACTCTTGGGGTAATCAAATGCTGACCCATGTTGAGGCTCAAACTTTCGAAGTTGACTTGGCCAACGGCTACAGAGCAGACTTGACAGGCTGGCCACTTACCCGAGACTACGCGCGGGGCTTTCTCACAAACCAACACGGGGTGTCCACAGCCGTGGTGAAGGGACTGGTGCCAGCAGCGCGGTACCTCTACCAGATCTACATGGTCCATGAGAGAACCGATTGGGCAGGTGATGCGAAGGTGTCCGTGAACCATGGCGTTCAGGCCAGAGGCACTGGGGACAGTCGCAACGACGCCAAGTTCTCCGGGGTGGCAGTGGCTTCGCCTAGAGGCCAGATCCTAAACTCCGAACTTAAGGACCCTACTGTAGGGGCCTTAATAATCAGAATAGGGTTTGGGGTGATATTCTACCATATTTATAACAAGGACTCCCAAAACCCTATTCCTCTTCACGCTAGACTCACAGCCCTTTGTGATGAATGAACCCGAAACAGAGGTGAGATCAACTTCGAGTTCGAGCGCATTACCCCCCATACCCACCTCTCCGGCATCGCCATTGCAAAAGCGGGGGAGCCTCCTGTCATCGCCAAGCCGGCGGATCCACCATCGCAGGGCATGTATGCCTGGTTCAAGCACCCTGCCTGAGGTTTAGGTTTTTGTGTAGAGGAGAACCCTAAACCTTAAACCCTAAACCCTAAACCACAGGAGTTGACCTAGCGCGAAGATGTGCAGTGCCCGGGATGAACTTGCTTGATTCGGAACATACTTGTGCTGCGTTCCTGCACAGCAGCTCTTGATACACGTTGAGTATGACCAGTTCCTTGCCTTGCTTTCTGTTTGTAGCATGTGTCCGCATCAATGTGGTTGAAACCCCAAACCCCAAACCCCAAGACATGGACGCCGCGCGAAGTTTAAGCCTTCACGGGCCGAAGGTTGATTCGCAAAATCCTGCAGTTTCCGTCCTAATGAATGTAATATCTAAGCGTTCTTCTGGTTGGCTCTTAGGACTTTAACTTTTTGAGTTTCTATATGAACCGTAATCAGGCGGCTTTAAGTTTGACTTTTAGGAGGGGTCCAGAAGTCAGCCAAGATATAGGGGCCTTAATAGCTAGAATAGGGTTTTGGGGCCCTTTATGCTAAAGTTACAATCAGGAACCCCCAAAATAGTATAGGTAATTACGTAGGCACCTTAAATTACTTTGCCATCAAGCCATTAGCTTACGGCGCTTCTGGCCATGCTTGGTTTTGTCCAGAAGCATCCTTTGGTGCCAAGCATGCCAGACCAAAGACATGGCATGCAAAACAAAACAAGATCAGATGATCCGGTGATGCTTTTATGCAACGGTGGGAATACGACTGGGAACACAACAACAGGGACAATGCAGATTGTGTTCTCCGGGGTGTGGGAGTGTGGCGATGCGTGTGCTGGGGTGGTTGCGGCTCCGGTTGTCCGAACGGCTATCTACTCCTCTATCCAGACCCCCGGGAGGATCTAGAAAGTAGATCCCTGAATTTGGGGCGCTATACTACTAAGGGTACTTTATAGGAAGCCCCATTATGGCATCTACTTTTTGGATCCCCCCGGGGGTCTGCGTATCTACTCTGATGGAAACAACACGATTCTGCCAACCTCAGCCACAACAAAACGGTTCAGGGTTTAGGGTTTAGGGTTAGTTTTGTCGAAGGAGTGAGAACGCTGGATCCGTATGGCGCAGCTCCGTGGGAGACTTTGAGGGCCATTGCAACAGAAACGCGGTTCTGGTTCAGGCAATGGGTTTAGGTTTTAGGGTTTAGGGTTTAGGTTTTTGGTTTAGGGTTTAGGGTTAAATATCATCTGCCAGAATTGAGATATATCGTAGTTAGTTTGATTAGTTTGATGCTCCTTACATGGAGCACCTCTGCCGGAACCAAGTGGGCAACGTCTTCCGGCGAGTGGCAGCAGGCAATGGAGCCGATCGCCCCGTTACCTTCATCGAAGGCTACACATGGTCACTGAACTGCTTTGGTTCCTGTTGTCACTGTTGAACTTCGTGTTGTATTGAAGTGGGTTCTTTAAGTGTAGCTGTGCTTGTGGGGACCTCCGAAGAATGAGGTCAGGCTACGACTTCGGAAACGTGATTCCCCCGACCCACACCGTTTGTTCCGTCACTCGCTATAGCGGTCATCACAAGGGGCGCATTTTGCAGTCCAGACAACAAAACAATTGGCTCCATGGCCACTGGGCTCGCCAATCCGGCGTTGCGTACTACAATGGTTGGCTTACATCTGATTCAAGAACTTTAGATGTCGAAGATTGGGTTGTGCTGTGCGGCACTAACGGTGCGCAACGAGCCTTTGATGGCTTTTCGTCCGGCACCCCGGCCAACATTGCGGCCCACGACCCATACCCGCCGGTGCCGTTCACGGAGACGATACCTCTGTGGATTAACCACGGCTGGGATGAACGGTCTGAGTTTCATGTCATGGAGGTGATTACCTGGGACAGGGTGTTGTCGGAGGCGGAGATGGTGGCCACCGTGGACTACTTGAAGTGGAAGCTGAGGGCAGGTGCCGTGCTCGAGGCTTCGGAACATCTTGCCCAGGAGACCGAAAAGAACCTCGACTTCTGGGGCAACCAACATTTGACCCATGTTGAGGCACAAACTTTCGAAGTTGACTTGGCCAACGGCTACAAAGCAGACTTGACAGGGTGGCCACATACAAGAGACTACGCGCGGGGCTTTCTCACAAACAAACACGGGGTGTCCACAGCCGTCGTGAAGGGGCTGACGCCAGCAGCACAGTACCTCTACCAGATCTACATGGTCCATGAGAGAACCGATTGGGCAGGTGATGCGAAGGTGTCAGTTAACCATGGTGTGCCTTTGTCAAAGTTTGGTAACATTATACATGTTTATGGGTGCTTAAACCCAGTAAGGAATAAAAATGCAACTTTGTAATCCTATCCCAACCATGAACTAGGTGCAGGGAACGTGCCGTGCGGATAGCGCCAACGACGCGAGGTTCTCCGGGGTGGCAGTGGCTTCGCCTAGAGGCCAGATCCTAAGTCCCGAACTTAAGGACCCTAATGCAGGGGCCTTAATAATCAGAATAGGGTTTGGGGGGATATTATACCGTATTTATAATAAGGACCCCACCAAACCCTATTAATCCTGAAGGCCCGTATATTCAGCCTTTCAAAATCCCTGAGCTGTAAACAGAGGTGAGATAAACTTCGAGTTCGAGCGCGTTTCCGTGCATCTCGACCTTTCCGGCATCGCCATTGCGAAAGTCAGCTCGCCAGCCAGTTTGCTTCAGGAGGCAGCTGGTGCTTCATGGGTGGAATTCGTATCCTACCGTTTGGGCATGTTTGGGCACCTAAACCTGAACCCCTAAAAACTTCAAGCCCCGAACCGCCAAACCACCATAAACCTTGAACATTGCACCTCAGCATGTGAACCGAAGTCTTCAGCGCAAGGCGAATTTTTTGCAGAAGTAGCGCCTCAGACTTTAAACCCTCAACCCTAAACCCCCATATTGCCCTGTAGTACCCTTTTCAAGGAGCCTGTTAATCCTTTTCTCTTCAACGCACCTAAACCCTAAACCCAAGCTGCAGCACCTAAACCCTAAACCCAAAGCCTAAACCCTAAACCCAAAGCCTAAACCCTAAACCCAAGCTGCAGTTCTAAATAACCCTAAACCCTAAACCCAAGCTGCAGTTCTAAATAACCCTAAACCCTAAACCCAAGCTGCAGTTCTAAATAACCCTAAACCCTAAACCCAAGCTGCAGTTCTAAATAACCCTAAACCCTAAACCCAAGCTGCAGTTCTAAATAACCCTAAACCCTAAACCCAAGCTGCAGTTCTAAATAAACCCTAAACCCTAAACCCAAGCTGCAGTTCTAAATAACCCTAAACCCTAAACCCAAGCTGCAGTTCTAAATAACCCTAAACCCTAAACCCAAGCTGCAGTTTTAAATGACCCTAAACCCTAAACCCAAGCTGCAGTTCTAAAGCACCTACGAACGCCCCAAACCTTAGAAGTCCAGGCCTCCATCGCGACAGGCCGTTCGGAAGGAGACTTGACAGCTTGGAAAAAACAATATATCTTTATATCTAAATAGACTTATATGTATATACCTATAAACAATTAAAAAGCAAATAAACACAAAACATGCAAAAATGTATGTATCTGCATGCAGGCATACATACATAGATGCATACATACCTACCTGCGTACATAAGTACGTACACACATACATACATACATACATACGTACATACAGACAGACATACAGACACAGACATACAGACACACAGACATGCACATACACATACATGCATGCATACATGCCTGCACCTATGGATGTATGTATGTATGCATCTATTTGTGTATACATGTGTATACATACATACGTGCATACATATATACTACCCTCGTCATGTACATGCATTGTGCTTGAATCGTCGGGCAGTCTCTACAAATCCTTTCCAACCTGTTCTTGGCCGCATCTAAATACATTAAAGTACGAATGTTTCTTCTATTCCAGTTCCAAGTGTAGTTTCAATATTACATTGGCCAATGATATTGTTCCCATTACCACTGTCTTTATGAATGCGGTTATAGTCACCGTTCTGGTTGCAACCCGTCTATTACTCCGTACCTCCCCTCCCCTTACAACGTCTTAAGCACATTCCAGCTCTGACTATTCAGGATAAGTGGCGAACCATCCAACAGCTGCTATTCACACTATTTCGTTCGAAACATCGAACCAGTTCAGATAAAGTGTATTAGTCGTTGAGCCCCACGTTTATTCACATTCGAGTAATGCGTAAACACCAGCTTTTGTAGTTTGAGCATCCACACCTGTGCTTGCACTATTGCTAACATACGCGAACAGTCTTTATAGAACGATGGCTTATTCAACTGACACATTCGTTCTTAAAAACCAGCTGGAGGAGGTTTGGTATTCGTGAAGGCAAGAGATTTCAACATGCTTCGGATACTCATCTGAGTTATTTTGGGTTTCGCGCTTGTTGAACGAGCTTCTTGTTGTTGTTGTTGTCGTTGTCCCATTCGTTTTTATATCAGCCGCGAGTTTTAACATGTTTATTATGAGTTTACTTAATCTTAATCCTCTGCATCATTTAGGTCATGTAACTCTTGTCGAACTAGGGCCTGTCACTGTTGTTTGTGAAATTGGCTTAGAAATTTCGCACGTGATGAATGATGACCACTCGAGAATCCTGTATGTGAGAGTTTTGCCGTGAGTTGCCGATGTTGCTTTGGCTATGGCTCTTTAGTGTAAGCACCAGTTAAAGGCATACAACATGACAACACACCAATTAAAGAGCCACCACCCCCAATGCAAACCTAAAGCAACCTAAGCAAGCACGTTATACCTTGTCCTTTAGAAGTGTGCAATTTAAGCCAGCACGCTTTCTAGTTTCCGATGATAAAGTCTTCAATCCCGGACGAAGAGTATAGTTCCGTACATGATGAACAGATGAAGACAATCAATGAAGTGGTCTTGTCTTCAAGCAGAGATAAATACTTAGCATGTAGGTTTGTACAGGACACAGGAATTAACTTCATAAGAATGTTTGGTAATCAGCAAGTACCTCACATGCATGTTCAGTCACATCGCAAGAGTACATATGTATGCACAGCAGCAACTTCGTATTGAATCCATTCAATCCGCTAAACTATCAAGCTAGTGATTAGACCGACTGTATTCGTCAAACATTAAGACCTGTCAAACGGGTAGTGAACATCTCCATCAAGATGAAATCTGATTGTCCAAGTTGTACAATTCCGCTGGTCTTGAACAAGCCAAGGTTGAACTAAACGAACTTTTGGATGTCTTTAAGAGTCTTTTGCTGTGCTGTTAACAGGGGAACGAAGAGATGGGATTGATCATGACAATGGCAACTATATGATAAGGGGCACGTTTTCTGGAAGAGTCAAACACACAGAGTACGGTGGATATCTTACATCAGCCGCGACAGTAATTTAGTAGAGCCACCACCAACAAACAGAAACTCCAAAAGCACAGCATCACCAGTTCTAACTTTCCGTGATGAACAGCACGATACTTATAGAGCGAAACAAGACGACTATTCAAAGAACGACAGGCTCGAAATACAAAATGCAATGGTCAAGCCGCAGCGGTTCGTATTCCAACGGATTCGGCACGTACCCAATTGATAGTGGCGCCGGGACGAATCCCCCGAACCATTCCCGAATCATGTTGATTCGCCCGCAGAAGATGGACGTGAACAATAAATTAGGCAAGAAGACTCACAGTGTTCCCTGAGGCAGTCCCCAAACAAAGTAGAACGACTGTAAAACGGAGCATGCTCCTCCAACCGGACCCCACAAGGGTAAAAGAGCAAACGTTTCAGAACTTTCAGAAACCTGGACTGAGTATGTTATCGGGGCAGTCCGAGAAAGAAACAAAAGCAGCAAAACCCGTAAGCCAAAACCTGAGCATCTTCCTGAGGCAACTTGGAATGAGCATTTTTCTCGAGGCGGTCCCAAAGAGCAAAAGCAGCACGTCCGGTAAACGAAAAACTGCGCATATTCCTCGAGGCAGTCCAAGAAACCAAAAACGCAAAGATTTCAGAACCTTCAGAAAACTGAAATGAGCATAAATTAATTCTCGATGCAGTCCCAAAAACAACAGTTCCAAAACCAGTAAGCCAAGAACTAAGCATATGCCTTGACGCAATCACCAGAACATAGAAACAGCAAAGATTCCAAGCTATCCCACAGGGCTCTATGTACTTTTGAGACTCTCTCGAGAAATCGCTTGTGATATAGCCCAAGATCTTTGGTACTTTTGTCTGTTTTTGGGGTTGACCACTCGAGAGACATGTGCGTGTCTGGCATCAGAATTTTGTATTTTTTGTTTCTTGTTTGGAACTGGCTAACAACACCTTGATATACTATTCTTGTTTGGCAATGAATTTCCATTATAGTGCGACTCATCATCGTGTTCGTTGGTGCTGTCGTGGCGAGCGCTGATTGCAATACTCTGAGGCTTTATTCCTGTTCCAGGAGTGCAAAACAAAAGGGCAGAATCCAATGCTTGTGAGTACAAAGACTAGAAACTGCGAATTCTTCGGGGGGCTAGTGTGTGTATATATATATACCTGGTCATATACATATGTATACACATATACATATACACATGGGTTATGGTGCTTGTCTTTGTAATGGAATTTTGGGTTTGCTGGGCTTTATGACTTGTGCTACAACTGTGTGGACCACGCCTTGCGACAATTTGGATTTGAGTCGTCCGGGGCGTAGGCTTTGGAGTAAACTTGGAACCCGAACCTGCGAGGCTAATGCCCTCACTTGGAGGTTCAGGGGTAGGTATAAGTGGGGTTCTTCGTCCCCTAACATGGGTTATAAGTATAGTTCCCCTGCCTAAAACCGTACCTAAGCCCGGAAGTGCTAACGTAGGAACCTGATTAAGACACCCTGGGCCTATAACCTCAAAATAGTAGGATTCATAAAAGGAACCCTAATAGAGGCCCAAGGTTTCTTAATCAGGTTCCTGCATTAGATGTGGTAAGGGGAAGGGGGTAGGGGGCCTTAATACCTATAATAAGGACTTAATAAGGCCTTTTTGAGGAAGTATAGTTCCCTACCCCCTCTCCCCTACCCAGGCTCCAGGACCGAGCCCGGTTCTATGTCGGACTAACCGCAGGAGGAAGTCGGAAACCCTGAAACGCTGACCCTAGGAAAACCTACATCTTCTAAGACTTCCCCAAACCCTAATCGCCCTAATCCCCGAAATCGGGCAGAAGGAAACGAAAAAAAAAAAAACAAAAAGAGAAGCCCTAAACCCTAAACCCATTCTAAGGAGCCGTTGAGCAAGGCTTCATGGACCTGCACCTGTACCAACAGTGCGATTCCATCCTTATGCTGGGAGGCCTCGCGAGGGTTCAGAGCTCAATTTAGGGTTTAGGGCACAGTGTTGTTGGGGGTTTAGGGTTCAAGGTTCGGCTGCTCTCAGCATTTTCCCCATTCGCAGAATGCGCACTTTGGCCTCCTGCCGAAGTGTGAGTTAGTCCCGGTGCAGTTTTGGTCATGTCCAGGGCCTGGTATAGCCCATGGAATTTTGGGGTTCCGTATTATGAGTATAGGTATTCCAATTATTAAGACCCCTATATCAAACAAAAGCGCGATGTTTTTGATCTCATGGTGGTCCACGCAGAGTAAGCAGCTAAACTCCACACCGCGCAGGATCAGGATTCTTGAGATCTTAGGGGATTTCAGGGGGCTGCACAAACTCCTTTAGCTTTCACTTAAAGCTTGGGGTTCCCATAATAGGGTTCATATTAAGGAATCCCTACCCCAAGAATCTTGAACCCCCCTTTTGGCCTCCCATTAACGCTTTTCAAAGGTTCGACAATGTTTATTCGGGGATCTGCCCTTAATATAGGGGTCCCCATTAAGGGTCCCTCCTTTTCCCCTTTGATATTCGGGGATCTACTGATTTTGCCGTTCGCGCGCCGGTGCACCTGAACCTGGAAGCTGCCAGTGTCGGCATCCTTGGGTTTATAGGGTTTCAGGGTTTAGGGTTTAGGGTTTCAGGGTTTAGGGTTTCAGGGTTTAGGGTTTCAGGGTTTAGGGTTTAGGGTTTCAGGGTTTAGGGTTTAGGGTTTAGGGTTTAGGGTTTCAGGGTTTAGGGTTTAGGGTTTAGGGTTCAGGGTTTAGGGTTCAGGGTTTAGGGTTTAGGGTTCAGGGTTCAGGGTTTAGGGTTCAGGGTTTAGGGTTTAGGGTTTAGTTTCTCTGGTTCTAGGTAGGGCAGGGGGTAATGGATCCTTATGATCGTCCCTTAAGGCCCCCTGTTGTAGTCCCGAAAACCCATTCCAACAGAAGACTCCTTACGACGACCCAGGGAGTGTTTGGGGCTAAGATCTCAAGGTTTTGAGTGCAGGAGGTGACGGTGAGGGAGTATGGTTGAGTGTTTGAGGTTTAGGGTTTTTTGGGTATCGGATTCTAGGGATAAACAGAAGTTTACGCTTCAACCCTGGAAATGTCCGCGTTTTGGGGGCTTCTTCAAACGCAACCTGTACTTCCGGGCTGGGTGTGTAATATACAATCCTGAATCACTAATCCTTATGCTCCTTCCTACATCTTTGTACCATTAGAGCATCTTTCGATGATATGCCATGATATGCACCGAAACCATATAGTCAAAATTATGGTCCCTTTTTGGTTCCTTACTCCATTACGGCACATATTAATTATGGTACACAAAGAGGGACCACAATATTGATAATTACCCACATATTCTAAAGTAGATCCCTTAGTGGGGGTTCCTATAAAGTACCAGTAGTAGTATAGGTCTAGATCCTGCCGGGGTTCTGGGTTCTAATTACACCCTACACCCTAAACCCTGAACCGTAAACCCTAAACCCTAAACCGATGAAGGCCCCCATGAGACCCTCCTTCGTTGTCTCTCGGGCATCAGCCCCGAATCCAAACGAGGCGAGATAACAAATCACCGTAGAGATTGGGATTCAAGCTTGTTAAAGTTTAAGGCTTTGGGAGTTTAGGGGTTTAGGGTTTAGGGTTTAGGAGTTTAGGGATTTAGGGTTTAGGGTCTAGGGTGTAGCGGTTTAGGAGGTTAGGGTTTAGGGTTTAGCTTGTTAGCCTAGTGCAGAGGTGGTGTCAGGCTTACCCGATTTCCGGGTTTGGGAAGGCTAGGGGTTGAAAGTTTGGGGCCTCGGGCTATCATAACCCACGGTAGGAACCCCAAAAATTGCCAAACGTATTCCATAAGGGTTCCTGATCATGTGTATACCAGAATATACCTCCAAGTCCCAATTCGAACCATCCAGGCCACTCTACTTCTACCCTTGCACGTGGCTAGACCCCAAGCTTTTGCAGGTATGGGTGTGGAGCACTGCGGAAGGCCCAGCCACAGAGAAATCACCTCGCACGACTGGCTGCACAAGAGGCCTGAAGCAATGCGGTCGTCAGGTGGTGCTGCGGGTTGAGGCCTTAAGGGCTTAAAGGCGTCCACGGGCTAACCACTCTTCGACTGTATTTTAGGTAGGGCTTTGAGACATTTTGTATTTTTCCCTTATGGGCTTAAGAGGATCTTACCTACTAATATTCTTCAACGGCTTTAAAAGCCCCACCTAGTATTTGTGGGGTCCGACTTTCAGCCCTGGTGTTGAGTTTATAGGGGCTCCCATGGAAAAGGGAGGTTTTTGGTAGGTTTCGGTAGAATTGAGTTGCCTTCGACGACTGCCACGAGGCCCTTGCCGCCGTCCTTCAAGCGGCTGATCTACATTAGCCCCGGGTCTTCGGGTTGAGGGTCCAGAGTTTAGGGTTTGGGTTTTTGGGGCGTGGGAGTAGGTAGGGATCAAAGTATTGTGTTAGGGGTTTTATGCGGAGTGTTTTTTGCCGCATGGGGTGAGCGTGTATATCACAGGCAATGACTTTAAGTTTTCCAGAATAGTGGGCCTCGTTTTGGGGTCAGGGCCCTTCAAGTGGCACATCTCAGAGACTCCAATATCCTTTTATTAGGGAGTATACCTTAAATCATATTAGGGATCCTACGATAATTTACGGAATATTCCTTAATTAAGGGATATCGGAGTCTCTGGGGTAGCGGGCTTGTTTTGCAAAGGCTAATGCGCACTGATGAGGGCGAAGGGGACTGTTGGGTTTTGCCAGTTGGAGTTTGGGTTTGAGGGCGAGAGCGGTGATTCTCTTGTTCTTTCGGCGTCTAGTTTAGGGACCTTAATAATTACCTAGACCATGTGGGGGGTTCCGTACTATAAGTATAGCATAGTATACCCCAAAACCCAATTCAAGTTAAATGAACCCCAAAGTCTGCACTCGAGACCCTGAGCCCCAAACCAGTGCAGTTTTTGAGGTTGGCTTTGTTGTCTTGGAGTTTTCCTTCTAGTTTTGTCAGGCGAAACGGTCTAAGTGTGGGCGGACCTTTTATCGGGTTGCAATAGCCTCAGTGGAGTGCAGCCAGGTGGCTAGTGGCTTTATGCCGTTCTGGCATACGGTATTACTTCTTTATGCTGACGAATCCAGGTCGTGAGTGTGAATTTGAAGGCTCTATGCCCCTGAGTAATCATGAGTCAGAAAGTCCCAAACCCTAGACCCTAAATTCCCCATACATCCCTAAACCCTAAACAAAGCGCACACTGGTGAGGCACGGAAGTCTTCTGATGGCCTCCTGCTGGAGCGAAAGGTACCGGCTGTTGCGGGAGAACCAGATTGCCGACACGGAACTTCGATTGCCCTAGGTCCGGAACCCCCTAAACCCAAACAACTGGACCTAAGGTAACTGTACTTATAACCCATATAAGGGGACGTATAACCCCACTTGTAGCTACCCCTGAACCTCCAAGTAAGTCCTGAACCCCCTAAACCCCAAAACAACTGGACCTAGATCCTGCATGCTTGAACCCTTCTCTTCGGATTTGCCATTTTCGGTTAGTGCTCTGGTACCCTGAACCGCACATGCTTATAGGGGCCTCAATAGTTAGAATAGGGTTTTGGAGCCCATTGTATTACACTTATAACCCTTTAGAGGAACCCCACTCTCTCGAACTTCAATCTACTTTAAGGCACCTATAGTACCAAATCATCGCATGCGTTTTCTTGTGCAAAGCCTCCACTCCGAACAGCCCAGGAGCGACTTCAGTGTGTCAACGGCGATTGGTACAACAGCCTCTGGGCGCACCAATTAGGGTTTAGGGTTTAGCGGTTAGGGTGTAGGGTTGAGGGGTTAGGGTTTAATAGCTGTCATCACGTAGGGGGCGGCATGGGCAGAACCCTTATCACTGAAGCAGTATTACGAAAAGTTAGAAACTCACGATACTAGTATTCATGCTGCCAGCATAATCATTATCATATTAATTAGGAACTAAACCCAAACCTCAAACCCTAGGCCATAAGCCACAGCCGTGAGTCGCGCAGGTTTTAGAGCACATGGTCATGACTTCGCATTCACAGTAGGACCAGGCGAGTTCCCAGGCGGGGGTTTCCCGGTGTTCTGGGGGAGAGTGCTGCAGGTTTAGGGTTGAGTCCAAACCCTGAACCCAAGACCTTCGCAGTTTTCGCGGTTTAGTTTAAAGCTTAGGGCTTTGGGTTTAGGGCTCAGGGTAGGATTTAGGGTTTAGGGTTCACACCCGAAGCCCCAAAAACCCTAAACTGCCCTGCCTGGAGTCGAAAGAGGGCTTACCGTACAGCTCGGCACGATGCCCAGAGGCAAGACCTTGTAAAGTGGCCTACTCTCACTGGGAGGGGTAGTTACAAGTTATAAGCAGGGTTGCAACGGGTTTAGGGTCCCTTTAAGGGTTCTATCGGGTTTAGGGTGGGAAGAGTAGGGTTAGAAGTAGGGTAACTATACTTATAACCCATATTAGGGGGCTTATAACCCCACTCAAAACTACCCTAACTCCTAAATCCCTAAACCCTATAGAACCCTTTAAAGTGAACACTAAGCCCCGATATAACCCCGCTTCAAACTACCCCTGAACCTCCGAGCAATCCGTATCAGAATTTGCGGAGTGACCCTATCTTAGGGACCCCAAAAAGACATAAGCACACGCATTCCATAGAGCCTTATGTGCTTTGTAGGGGCCCTACTACCCCACCGTCTGGAGTCCTGCAATGGCCCAGGAGAAGACCCGACACGCCAATATCCCTTAATTAAGGAATACACCTTAAAACATATATATATATATATATATATATTATATATATTATATATATATATGTGTGTATATATATATGTATATGTATATATATATATATATATATATATATATATATATATATATATATTTAGTACAGGATCCCTAATATGACGTAAGATATTCCTTACCTAGAGGCTCCATAGTAGCTCCTATCTGCGGTTCATATTTAAACTCCTATAAGGTAATCCCCAGAAGGAACTACTCTGGAGCCGAAAAGGTAGACACACACTAAGCCTTAAACCCAAGTAGTAATTACCCTAAATAGTAGGATCCATATTATAAGACCCCAATATAAAGTATACCCTAAACCCTAAACCGTATAGCTATTGGAGTCTCTGGGACAGTCGGAAACCTGGTAATGACCGGGGAAGCCCGGAGTTCAAGCTACAAGCCTGGGAGGCTGGGACCATGTGGGAGTTTCCGAACATTGGGGGTGCCTTTAAAGGGATCCTGTAAGGGTTCCTCTAAAGGGATCTAAAAGGGTTCTATACAGGGTTTATAGGTTTAGGAGTTTCCGAAAATAGGGGGGTACCTTGCTTTGGGGGTCCTTCGAAGAAGGATCCTACTACTAACGGTACAATATTAGGGTCCCCTATTTTCGGAAGCTCCCGAGATTTCACAACCCCAAACCCTAAACCCTACGATTCACCGGATTAGGGTGTAGGGCTGACAAGGTTTAAATCTCCCAACCCTAAACCCTAAACCCTATCACCCAGAAGGTGAACTCTTCAAAGGCACCTTCCGAGGTCCGGCAGCAGAATTCTGACCATTCTACTTCCGGGCTTGGGCGCCAGTGGAATCCAGGGAGAGAGCCCGTTTGAGAGGCGACCCCAAATTGACAAGTCGAAGGACTGCCACATGGCGACTGTGCCTCAAACCGCCCTAAACTCCTCTACTGGAAGACACTGGAACTCCCAGCATACCGTTGCTATTGCATATGAACGATGTTTAGGGTTTAGGGCTTAGTTGGCATCACTATAAGTACTATTAACTGTCATTCTGTGATTTAGATGATGACGGTTCGTTTTATTCCTACTATCACCATCATCATTATCATTATTCTTATTTGTTACCTATTAACATTATAATTTCCATTGCTACTACAGTTATTGTTTTTATCAGCATCAGTACCATTATTCGGGTTACTGTTATTGTTACTGTTACTAGTACGATTTCTGTTAGCGTTGTTCTTCTTACTGTTAACCTTAAGGCCTAAACCCAACACCCTAAACCCTCAAAAAACACTAAACCCTAAACCACCAAAAACCCAAAACCCTAAACCCTCAAAAAAAAAAACAAAACCAGTGAGCAAAGGTCTTGGAAAGCCTGGGCTCAGTGGTCTGGTCTGCGAAGGATGTGTGCAGGAGTGGGATTGAGGGTGTCGGGTTTGGGGGGGGAAAGGGTTTGGGGTTCAGGGTTTGGGGCGTTGAGGGTTCGGGGTTTAGGGTTCGGGGTTTAGGGTTTTGGGTTTGGGGTGGGGGGGGGGGGGGGAAGGACCCTTCCGGGGTACTCTGACTCTAATCCCTAAGGAATCCCAACATACTCCCAAAGGTTAGCCTTCAGTTCCTAGAGATACTCGACGACCAGCGAGGGTTTAGGGTTTGGGGTTTAAGGTTTACGGGTGTTTCAGGGCATGGTCTGCCCTAACCCTCAGGCTCCCGAGGCTTCTTTTGCCACCTCTACTTGGAGGTTCAGGGATAGCTATAAGTGGGGGTATATACGGGCTGAGGGTTCCTTTAAGGGTTCTTTAGGGTTTAGGGTTTAGGTTTTGGGGTTCAGGGTTCAGGGTTTAGGG